GGGTGGGGGGGAAGGGGGGGGGGGGGGGGCCCGGGGGGGGGGGGGGGGTCGGTCCCGTCCCCAGCTGCCTCCATGAGCACTTGGGGCTCAGCCCTCGCTCCGCCCTGAGCAGGGGCAGGGGGGCTGGACCGCAGGTACGATGGGGAGAGGGATGCTCAGTGGTGGGCACACTGGGTGCCCTTCTGCCACTTCTGAGCTCCCCTGTGGGGCCTGGTTGGCTCATGGGAGACGGGGCGGTCTGCCAGGGCAGTGCGTTTAAAGCAATAGGACCATTGCCCCCAAAGGCATCTCGCTAGGATCCTCCTAAGAAGTTGGAGAGGTGGTGGGTCCCAGGCCCCAGTCTGTGCGTCCCTTTCCCGGGGTGCAGGGAGGGCAGCACCCCAGGCCCCTCGGGGTGTCCGCTCCTGAGGCTCCCCTGGCCTCTGACCGGCCGGCCCTGCTCCCCAGTGCCCCGCCTCCCAAGAAGAAGATGGACCCGGAGCAGGTGTGGCAGCTGCTGATGTCGGCGGACCGGAAGGACTACGAGAGGCTGTGCATCCAGTACGGCATCGCGGACTTCCGCGGCATGCTGCGCAAGCTGGAGAAGATGCGCCGGGAGCGGGACGACAGGATGGCGCAGGTACCCTCCCCTCGCGGGGCCACCCCGGAGCTGGCCTGCAGCGGGACGCCCGCCCTCACCGAGCCCTCCATGTGGTATCTGGCCAAGGACCCAGGTTTCCGAGCCGACGTCCTGGCTTTGGACCTGCCCCCGATACTAACTCTGGGCTTTGGAGAAGTGAGGGCCGCTGTGTCTTGGTTTCCTTGTTGGTAACATGGGTGTTAGAGTCACAGGTACCTCACAGGGCTGTGGAGAGGGGGTGTGAGAGGGTGCCCTGGACACACCTGGCTGAGTGCCTGACACATAGCAAGGGTTTCCTGGGAGCCATCACCACCATCATCACAATCACCACCAATATCACCATCATCACAATCACCATAATCATTGTCACCCTCACCATTATCACCACCATCACCACCATCACCATCACCATCACCACCGCCATCATCACCACTATCACCACCATCACCACCATCACCATCACCACCATCACCATCATGATCACCATCACCATCACCACCATCACCACCATCACCATCATAATAATCATCACCACCATCATCATCATCACAATCACCATAATCATTGTCACCCTCACCATTATCACCACCATCACCATTATCACCATCATAACCATCATCACCATCATCACCATCATCATCATCACCAATATCACTATCATCATCATCATCACCACCACCAATATCACCACCATCACCATAATCATTGTCACCCTCACCATTATCACCACCATCACCACCATCACCATCATCACCACCATCATCATCACCATCATAACCACCATCATCACTGTCATCATCACCATCACCACCTTCCCTCACCATCACAGACCTTGGGGGCCTGTCTTATTCCCGAAAGGCTTCTCGTGAAGGGAATTTTAGTTCCCATCGGTGCGCTCATTCCAGCATCTTACAACCTGTACAGGAAGTTCTTTCCCGAGTCGAACCCACCTGGAGTCTAAACCTAATGTTTCCTCTGGAAACACAAAACACGTGGCTTTCATCCTCCAGAAAATGGTCTTTGATCGGACCTCCCACCTGGGGCCTCAGCTCCCCTTCCTCCACGCTTTCTCACCTGCTTCAACACAGGACCCAGCAAGGGCTTTACACCCAGTAGGTGCTCAACTCACTTTTATTAGATGGAACCACTGATGAACACCAAGCCCTCCTGTGTCCTCGGCACCCCCGGACACCTGGGTCCTTTCTTGTTCCCCTCCCCAACCTGTGGTCTCATCTCGGAGAACTCCCTGCTCCACGGGGCTCACGCCTCCCCCTGCGAAGCGGGACATGCTTGTTTGCCCGGGATTTGGGGGCCCGGGGCCTGAGGGGTTGCAGTGCCCTGAAGAGAGCCCCCCCCCATGGGTTTGTCTCCCCTAGTACGTCAACTCCGTCTCCAACACGAAACAGATGAGGGTCACCAAGGAGGGGGTGGCGTTCTTTGAACTGGACCTGGACCTCAAGGATCCCGAGAGCAATGTCTACCTGTACAAGGTGCGGCTGGGGGGCCGCTGGCAGGGGGGGCCGCTGGCTGGGGACTGCGGGTCCTGGGGGGCCGCTGGCTGGGGACTGCGGGTCCTGGGGGCAGGGACTGTGGGTTTCCTGGGCCCCCCCGGGAATAACTGAGCGCACAGGTGCGAACCCCTTGTCCCCTGGAGTTCCTGCTTGGAGTCGGGTCCGACCCTGGTGTAGACTCTTACCTCTCATGGAGCCACCGGGTTCTCCAGCCAGGACATGGCTCAGTGGATAGAGCGTCGGCCTGCGGACTGAAGGGTCCCGGGTTCGATTCCGGTCAAAGGCCACATGCCCGGGTTGCGGGCTCGATCCCCAGTAGGGGGCGTGCAGGAGGCAGCCGATCCATGATTCTCTCTCGCCGCTCCAACCGCGGAGCCAGACAGCCAGGGCAGTTCTATCTCGTTCTAACGTCCATTATATTATCTACTTACTCGTGGCCCGGTGCACAGATGCGTGTGCATCGAAGATTCGTGCGGTAATTACATCGCTGCAAAAAATTACATGTCAAAGCAGTATATATAATGCAGTATTATAAAATCAAAATACAAAATATTTTAATATCGCTCTTCTCCAGCGAGAGCTTTACATGGATCGCGAGTGAGCAACGTTTCTTTTTAAATTGCCAGTGCACGTCATGTGTACCGGCCGGCCGGCCGGTCGGACAGCCGGTTGGACGGTCGGACAGTGGGTCGGACGGTCGGACAGTCGGTCACTTAGCCTTTTATATAGATAGATGGTGCTTAGATTGTGTCTGTCTCCCCCAGAGAATTTCAGCTCCCTGGGAGCAGGGACCCTTGTCTGTTTTATCCCCAGCTGGTCCTTCCCA